AGGCCTAGGCATATTCTTATCTCAAAATTCCTTTCGGGCTCCGCCCCAGTGGCTCTGCAGTTCCCCATGTTAACCTTATGAGGATTCATATTTTGTAAAGGGAATTAAAAAAACATAGCCAGCTGTGTCAACTAAAAGAGTTGGTTCTATGATATGCAAAAGCATTAAACATTTATAAGATTTACCAACAGGGTGCAGCACTATTATTTTTTTCAGCAACAAAAAATTATGATACACAATGAGAACTGTCAAAGTAGGATTGCTATTACAGTTATGTTCATGTTTTTAATTTCATGAATAATTTGTGATATATTTTGCGAATTTTTAATAATCTATTTTTCTCTATTGTGTAGGTAAAGTGGTAGAATATTATGGCTATGTTAGATGTGTAATACTATATATAGCATATCGTAAATTTTAGGAAGCAAATTTTCTCAAACCGTGTCTTCTCACATTGAAATGCAAAGACCGAAAGTATAACTGCATTTATATTTGCCAACCCCGTACGAAGGACGGGTACTCTGATAGTACCTAAATACATAAACAAGACAACTACAACAGTTTACTTATTCTCCATAAAAATTACATGAAACTTTGAAATTTAAATTTTTTTTTATTTTTTCCGTAACCAATAACCGTAAAAAACACTTAGCCTAAATATACTAGGTCTTACCGTACCACCTACGGTAATAGCAGGGTATAGCTAATTCCCTATAGGAAATTCGCTCAAGCAAACTTAATACCATAATTTAAATAAATAAATACCCCCGCCGCAGCAAACCTGCAGACTAAGCGAATTTCTATTTGCCTGATTTAATTTACACTAAAATGTCTCCTTGAAAATATCACATTTATTACATATTTAAATAGCATTAGTTTAACGATTACCTACTTAGGTTTACTGCAACAGGGAGGGTAAAAAGGTTTTTTTTTGTAAAATGGTTTTTTTTTGTAAAATGTTTAGTATGAAATTAACGCATTTTCCAAATTTGATCAAAATCTATATCTATAAAAGAGGAACTATGTATGTATATATATATGTGTATAGATACGTTATGGACTCCGAAACCGCTTGACAGATTGTAATGAAACTTTCAGGCATTATTAAGCATCTTTCAAGGATGGTTCGAGTGAAGTTTGGTGCAGATCCGTCAAAAGGGCTCTGCCCCATAGGGTTTTAAGTGGGCCAATGTCAGACTTTTTGATCTAGAATGTTTACAAATAAATATAATTTAAAAGCAGATGTTTACTTTCACCAACTGTTTTGTACGTTTGAATAACTACAACATTCTGTATTAGCATTAGTCATGATTTGAAATAGTGCCACAGTGTTTCTACGGATCGCAGCACAGAAAACTATTTTACTTTTGAATAAGTCAAAATGTATTAAACCCCAATCGCAGCATACCTGTGTACTTAACAACGTTTAAATTCTCCAATGTTAAATATTAAAACATAAAAACCTTTATCAAAGTACTGTATTATAAACAATAAAAGGGATGACTTTTTTAAATGTATGACAACAGCTAATTTGCAACCAAAAGGTGAGTGAGCGTAGCGAACGAACATCAACCTGGAGGCGAGTAAGCGTAGCGAACGAGCTAACCTGAAAACAAGTGAGCGCAGCGAACGATTTCCAACTTGAAGGTGAGTGAGCGTAGCGAACGAACTTCAACCAGGACGTGATTGAGCCATGCGAATACTTCGCGAAGTTAAGCGGGGCAAAGCCCGCGGGTACAGCTAGTATACTCATAATCAAGCAAACTACAACAGTTTACAATTTTCTCCATAAGAATAACATGGGAATTTTAAATTTACACTTTTTTGAATTTTTTCCTATATCAAAGAGGGAAATTGGAGGGATAAATATTTCGAAAGGTTCCCTCGCTACCTGGCAGAACCCGCGTGGTGGTTCAATTGTTTTACAACCCTACGAAACTGAACCTTATAATCCGCTCTAATGTTCGTGGCGGTTTAAGTATCTTGGGACGGCCATAAAAATCGTGGCGGTTCAATAACAGCCGGGCGGCCTGGGTGTGGAAATCGACCTGGATCAAAAGCGTCGGCCCGGCAAGGAAGGGTTCCTCAAGGAGGCCGGTGGGACAGGGCTATGCAAGTCGCACGGAGCTGACGGGTTGGTGTCATGGCCCGGGCCGTTGTGGTCGCCCAGTGCAGAAAATCAGCCTGGGCGGTCCGGGTGTAGAAAATCGGCCCGGGTGTAGAAAATTGGTCCCGGCCAAAGCACCTGTCCGGTGTGGAAGGGTTCTCCAAAGTGATTTAAGAAGATAAGATTTAAAAGGGAACTTTTGAGTATGCAAAGAAGAGTTTTTTTTTTTGAATTTATTTTTTTATTTTTATTTTTTTTTTTTGCTACAATCCTAAAATGCTATGGGAAGGGAGGGAAACAGGTCCGTGACGTAGGAAGTGGTGAAGGAAGTAGTGAAGGCGAGTTGTTCGGAGTATGGGATCTGTTTATGACCAATAGATTAAGGTATTTGCAATCCAATAATGCTAAGGGAAGGGAGGGAAACAGGTCCGTGACGTAGGAAGTGGTAAAGGAAGTAGTAAAGGCGAGCAGTCCGGAGTGTTGGAACTGTTTAAGACGATTAGATTAAGGGATCTGCAATCTTAATCTTAATCTATACATATTTTTTTTAGTTTAGAACTTTGACTACGGTATCCAATTACCACTTTTCTGTAGACAATTTTACTGTGAACAAAATGGTGAAAGAATTATTAATTTATTACCTAAGGTTTTCTTTCTATAGCAGTTATCTAAAAGAGTAAAAGTCTACAAATTCGGTAAAATTAATTGCCGCCAGAGGGTGCTGCAGGTAGCGCATTAAAATACGCACATAGTGGCGTCCCCATCTTAAATAATTGATTGATTGATTGATTAATTCCTTCCCCAATGGGTTAACGTAGGTATTTAAAACAATGTGATTACCAGTACTAAAAATTCAACAATATAATAATGGTATACAAAAGTATCAGCTGAATAATAATCTAAGGATGACACCCGGCATTGGATATTATGCATCCGTAAAGTTTATACTGGATCTTCATTAACATACATTTACAGCAATGTGATTACTAAATTGAACAATATAACAAAACATTTGCAAAAGTCTTTGATAACAAAATATAACGTAGTCTTGAGGACACATGGTAAAAGATTTAATGATTAGTACCGGTACAGTAAAGACCTCAATCACTTAAATGGTTTTTTGACGTAGCCTAGTAGGCTAACTACTAGACTACAGAGCCACTTGGCGATCGAGCTAAATACAATTTTATATAGATACATCATTAGTGATTCAGGAAATTCAACCACTTCTTAAACCACTTGAATCTGCAGGCCAACTAGGATCAGACCAGAACTACTCTATTTTCATCGGTCAGTTTAGGGGATCTCACTGTGACCGGGTGTGAATGATCGGTGTGCGTAGGCGATGCTAGCGCGACATGGTGCCGGATATCAGAACTTTATGCACACGCACACTCTAGAAAAACCAGCCCAAATGAGATCCACCTGTTTTCGGCAAACTTCGGGTATTTCCGTGATCCTGACAAGCTCAGGAGGACCAATCAGAGGATTTGGCGTTCTGAGATCCACCACCGATCTCAAAGCGCCAAACAGATCTCACTATGCCGTTGTTTAAACAAACTGCGGATCTCGTTTCGACACATTTGTAAGAGCACACCTACACACACACATGGGTCACTCGCCATGGGGTAGGTAGGGCCCTGCTGGTGAATGCACGTGCGTTAATGGAAGGGACGTTAATCCCTCAGTCCTTCGCCAACCTCACGGACTATAAGTTGTGTTTGATCGTAATGTGAAAATTGCAAAAGAGGTTGATGGGATTTTAGGGGGCTTTTAACTAACATTCCACCATAAAATTAGTACCTAACAAAGTGTTTTAATAGACTCGAGTGTTGATACCAATTCTAATGCTGCACTGCAGGAGGTTCACTGTGAACCAGCCTGGCCCTAAAGTCACTCCCCCAGCAGGCGGCGCTTTACTCCAAACACTTGCCGTATGTAGTACCTAACTTAACTGAAATTAGACCCAGTTGATAGGAAAGATGTAGTCCGGCATAAGCCTAGGCCTACTGCAGTTGGATTGGCTGCACTTTACTTTACGTCCTACACTCATTCGAATGAAAATATCGATCGATATATCGATAAGTTATATCGTTTGGTTAATTAGGTAAGGTTAACCTAACCTAACTAACCAAACGATATATCGAATGAAACAATCGAACAATCGATAGTTTCATTCGAATGAGTGTAGGACGTAAAGTAAAGTGCAGCCGTTGGATTGCTTGCCCCAGAAAAATCTTTTATTGGTTTTATATCAATAGCAGTCTAACTGTGAATTAAAATTTGGTGTCATGATTAGGCCTATTAGTCCATTTTCAATTGAGATTAAATCACTTCCAGGATATCCTCATATCCCACTGGAGCTTATAGAAGGGGTAACTTACACTTCCATCATCTGTTGGCACAAACAACCAAATGAGTAATTACTTATTGATTACCTATTTGATTGTTTAATTTGATATATCGTTGGTTAGTTAGGTTAGGTTAGGTTAACCTTACCTAACTAACCAAATTATATATCGAATAATCGATATATCGATCGATATTACTCATTCGGTTGTTTGTGACAACAGATATGGAAGTGTACCCTATAAGTTAGAAGCAATAACTAGACTAGATTCTGAATCCTTAAGAACAAGCTTTAAGTTAGTTTAAGTTACTGAATAATAGGATGACCTTAATAAATAAATCGTAGTACAGTAGGCCTTTAGGCCTAACTACTTATTTGGACTAAAAATAATTCATCAACTAACTTTATGGTATGTTTCTCTAATTTGTTAAACTCTAGGTGATGTTAAAAGATGTGATAAAAATGTCCCTAACTTAATTTCACTTCCTCAACCTATTGAAGGTAATATTGAATCAATGTGGACTAAGCAACATTGCAACTCACCTTCTTTGTGTTTATCCCCATATGCTAAAAATATTTTTAACACAAATTAAACACCAACGAAACTATTACCGTACAAAAGGAAATAAAACACTTTTATAATTCTAACTTAGTGGTAAAATTTAAATTCAACTGACACCTGTGAACACAACACAATCGCGCAGAAGCCGAATGAAAATGAATTCGCAGTGTTTCCATCCGCAAGAAAAAAATATCCCTGGGCCAACGTCAAAAAATCCCTAGTTATCCCTAGTCCGTGTTCTAATAATCCCTCCAATTATCCCTCTTCATAAAATCTAGATTACTTATTATTTTTGCAGCAATATCAATGGATTGGATATCATCACGGTAACTGGTGATATTATTCTTCAATATCCCATATTATTTATAAAGTAATAATATATAAAAAACATTTTTGCACCATTAAAACCACGGCCATCGTAACTCCAGGCAGGCCGCGGCCTGGTAGAATTGGCAACGTTGCAAGTACCGTAGTATTGTTTAACGCCAGACATCCCATAAGTTAACATGAAAAAAAAAACATAATATAGAATCGAAAACCAAAACATTGTAAATTGAAAATCTATTTCTGTAAATTCAATGTGGAGTCAACATTTTCATAGCTCAGTAACCAAGCTTTCGTATTCTTAAAAAAATACATAAATATCATTAGCTTAGCGTTCTCCAAACAAACACCTTTTACAGCACTATACTTGCAACGTTGCCACTTCGAAGGCCGCGGCCTCCGGCCTGGAATTAAAGGTAGCCGTGATTAAAAACTGTCTACGTGGTACGAAACAAGATTAATTAACTAAAAATGAAACAAATAGTTATTTTTAAAATTTTATAAACTAATAATTTTCATTTATAAGTATTTACAATTGTTTCAAAAATATTACTCAAGTGTCCAAATTTTTAAACTTAATAGTCTTTTTCAAACATGGCCGCCATGCCTTGGTGAAAAGGTTACACCAAGTTACTTACTAACCAAAAAACATCACAGAAATCACCGGCAAACAAAATAAAACGAAAACAAACATTCGACATTGACACAGGGCTTAAGAAACAAATACAGGACAGTAATCTAGATCCGCCATTCCATTCCACCGACCGACTCCAGTCCTTCGCTTGTTTCGTGCAGTGTTGGCTCTTGGCTGTAACTCTTCCCCTTGTGTGTTCCGACTTTGAAACACTACGTCACTACCACTACCTACAACCATAGATAAAACATACGCCTTGAGGAGTATCTTTTATCTATGCTACAATCGATTTGTTACCAAAATCTAGGGGAAAAGTAGTATAATCAATATGTTATCAATACCTTGCAAAATTAACCAAAAATAGGTCCTTAACATTGTTGAAATACAGCCATAATGTATTATTTTGTCAATATTTCAATTTTATAATGTCAAAGGCCTGAAATCCCTAGAAAATCTAAAAAAATCCTTCAATTTCGCTGATTATCCCTAGTTATCCCTCAATCCCTTTTCAATCCCTCGAAGGCCCTAAATATCCCTAGAAAGGGATTTTTATCCCTCAAATGGAAACACTGACAACGAACGAGATCGACTGCGACTGCGACAGCACTGACTACAATAATAAAGTCCAATAGAGAAACTAGCCACAGTAGTAACCAATCGGGTTGGAGGGTAGTAGAGAAGAAGAGAAGTATCGCCAACATTGTCTGGTCAAAACACTAAAATAATACTCTACCGACATAATTTTCAAAAGTTTATAGTATAATAAATACACTACACATATCACAAAATAGATAATTTTTGTGTAAAATATTTACCAAATTTAAAAACAGTGGACTAAAACAACCGGTATAATACGCAACACTATAGAGGACAATACTTAAGATAAGATAAGTGCTTGGTCTTCTATTTTTTACTTGAATCCTACTATCCTACTATATATATATATATATATATATATATATATATAATATTATAAATGAGAAAGTTTGGATGTATGGATGTATGGATGTATGTTTGTGACAAGTGAACGCGAAAAATACAGGTCGGATTGGGCTGAAATTTGGCATGATGATAGCTCACATTCCCGATTAACATATAGGCATATTCTTATTTCAAAAATCCTTTCGGGCTCCGCCCCAGTGGCTCTGGAGTTTCCCATGTTAACCTTATGAGAAATGGAATTATTGAATCTTAACAGCTGTTTCAATTAAACAAGTTGGTTCTGTTCTATGATATTCAATAGCATTAAAGTTACAAGGATTACCAACAGGGTGCAGCACTATTATTTCTTTTACAATTATGACAACAGCTAATTTGCAACCAAAAGGTGAGTGAGCGTAGCGAACGAACTTCAACCTGGAGGCGAGTTAGCGTAGCGAACGAGCTAACCTGAAGGCAAGTGAGCGCAGCGAACGAGCTCCAACCTAAAGGTGAGTGAGCGTAGCGAACGAGCTCCAACCTAAAGGTGAGTGAGCGTAGCGAACAAACTTCAACCAGGACGTGATTGAGCCATGCGAACGAGATAATCTTGACAATTTAGAAGTTAAACGGGGCAAAGCCCTCGGGTTACAGCTAGTAGTTAATAATAATAATAATAACATTTTATTATTTAGTAGCCTATCTTAATTTATTTGTAATCTCAACTAAGTAAACAGGTTAATATTGATACTTGATTTTCAGGATTAGACTTTTAGGACCAACTGTTAGTTAATATGTATTTACAACAAACTGAGTAGTCCATTTGAATGATAATTGGTTGAACATTTCTTTTCTTATAATATATATCAAACTACCGTGGAAAAACGTTTATTTCGAAGACATTTTATTATTCTCACTGATTTCTTTAAGACAGGGGTTATAAAATTCCTGGGGTAAAAATCCGGGCCGTACATTTTGAGCTGACATCATGAAGGGGGTAAAATTCCGGCCCGTACACTCTAGGTTTTATAATTTTTATGTGTTCTGATTAAATTCACAACCATGAAGATATTTGTTTAATTGTACCTTTAATTTATTGAACTGATGTTGTGCAACTGAAAAGTTCACGGCCGGAATTTTACCCCTTGGTAGTGGTATGTGACATAAGTTTTGCTCAGGGGGTGAAATTCTGCTACCCCCTATTTTTGCCAATATTTTTATCTTTAAATAGAGGTAACTCCGATAACCGTTCTGCCACGTTCCCCCACAAATCGAGCACTGGCGTAAGCCCATAAACTGGTTCGAATCTTCTCTAAGCTTCTAGAGATAAAACTTATTCTAAAAATATTCATTGGTGTATTTTTATTTAAGAATACGAAAGCTTGGGTCACTGGGATTAAATTAAATGAGTGGGCGTTAGGGCGTTACCTGTTTACCGTGGTAGCTTATGGGACTTATAACTTGGCGCTGATCAGCGCCGCTGCCAATTTTTACCAGGCCGCGGCCTAGAGTTAAAGGAAGCCATGGTTCACGTACCCCCAACACTTTGATGTACAAAAACAAACCTAAAACAGACAACCTTTTCAAAATAGGAACTCCTTTTTATTGTAGTGCAGCTTCACTGCCCTGAAGAAATCCTAATGCTGAGATTCAGTGCTCCCAGTCCCATAACGATGAAGTTTAGGCATGGAACTTGATAATTGATTAAGCCTTCTTTTTTAAAGTAGGCTATTAAATTTTAATATCAAACTTATCAAATTATTATTAATGAGGAGTAGAAAGTCCGTGATCAATAGAATCCACGTTGAATAAAGGAGGAATCGATTATGAAGGAAATCTGAAAAATATTACCAGTACCTCGTACCTCCCTAGTAATGGTATGGTTTAATCTACAAGTAGTAAAATGATAGGCTACTATAGGCCTACATTTGATATGGAGTGGATAAACGTGTTAAGAGTATAGAGGATTTTTACCTTCGCACTAATATAACATAGATAGGTATGAATTGGAGATAAGTGGCAGTTAAAAGGGGTTTAAGTAGAATTTGGTGGTTGAATAGAGGAAAATTGGTGGCTTTATTTAGATTTTTATGACATGGAGGATTATTATTAGAATTTTTGCTTTAACTGCGGATAAAATATGGATATTTTCCTATCCAGAGGGTGAATTTCCATGGGTCCAGGGTGGCAACACTGATTATTATTGTCGATGCTTCTTCTCTTCCTTAAGAGCTCAGCTGAGCTGATGTACAGACAGACAGTAACTACGCCGACGACGCCACGCCAGACGCCACGAGCTGTAGCTGCAGCTGGATTAACCAAACAGTCAGAAGCGAAGTCGGTGCCAAATTTTCAGGAATTAACCTATCGTTTGCTAGGGTTCCCGTTTACTTGGTTTTTTTTTTATTAGCTATTTATTATTGGATTTTGTTTCTGTCGGGTAAGGATAGGAAGACTTTGTTTCTACTTGAGGCAAAGATAAAGATCCTGCAAGATGAGTTCTCGTTCGAATCACATTTTAGCTGATCTGGATATAGAAAGCGTCTTACAATGCCCAGTTTGCTTTGAAATTCCACCATCAATTATTTTTATGTGTAAAGTTGGGCATCACATGTGTGAAAGGTGTAGATTGAGACTTCAAACATGTCCAACGTGCAAGGCATCGATAACTAGCTGTCGAAATTATCTAGCAGAATCACTGACAAACAAGTTCTCAATCCTATTAAAAGTAAGAATTAGGCTACTATAAATTTTTGCAGTTTAAGTTACTTACACTGTAAAAGCTCTTATCACAACGATTTTCAGGTCTTTCTCAGATGTTAAGAGACAAAATACTAGGGATGAGCATTGATGTTCACCATCGATGGTAACCCATCGATGTACCACAAACATCGTTGCGAAAAATGCAATGTTTTGGGACTAAAACATCACTGTTTTATGATGTTTTTTGTGTGTATTTAATCTGCCTTTTGTACTCTACATTAGGCCTAATGGAAAACATCGATACCTATCTCAATAAGTTAGGTAGTCTATGTTTGACAAAAACATTGATGTAAGTTAAGAAAAACATTGGTAATCTACCATCTATGTAAAAAACACCGAACATCGATAGAAAAACATTGACTAAGTTACCCTCACTAAACCCTCCTCATGCCTAAGTTTACAAAATAACTTACCCTCCAATCCAAGCTGACCACTGACCAGGGTTGGGTCTTTGATATGGCAGTTAGACTTACTAATTGCTATTTGCTAAGCTAGGTAGCTCAGTAACTGTAGTACTCGCTTCTAGTATACAGAAGGTTCCTGAGAAAAGTCTGCAGGCCCTATCAAGAGGCAATATGTTGGTACCCTGTGAGGAGAGAATTGACATTTTTACAAGGGAGCGATCCAATACAATTTTGACTGGCATGCTGTGTTAAAGTTACATATCCTAGGCCACATGCACAACAATACTCTAAATCATTTACGGAAAATAATTGATCAACTGGACACAAAACCAAATAATTTTTACACACTTTTCTTCTGTAGCCAACACAAATGCCTGGCCTTAAACTACCATACAATTAGAAATCAGGGTTAACTAAGTTATGCGATGGTAAAGTCTTATTTCGAGTAGCCTATAGGCCAAATCTTATTCTGTAAAAATCTATAAGAAATGTATAGGCCCTAGTGATGTAAAATACCCGGGTATTTAAAACTCGGGGTAAATACCCAAAATCCATAAATACCCGGGTATTTTGGTTATTTATGAAATCGATTGAAATTCATTTATATTTACCCCTAAATATGTTATTGTTATCATTACATGGTAAATTAGGATAGTCTATAACACCTTTTACAGTAACTTGAAGCTTTGCTAGTACGGTAGGCCTACCTTTTATTTAATGAGTTAGCACTTAAAAAAAAAATAATAATTTAAGTCTCTAAATAAGCATGGGGTTTTGTGTCTTAAATCGAGTAACATCAGTTAAATTTAACTTACTAAAAAAATAGTATACTTAAAAAGGCTGTGGCTATTTCAATTTTTATCATTTTATAAATTTATAACCAATTGAAATAACACAAACAAAATTATTTTAATTTATAAATATCCAGGAATTGTTGGTATATATACCCAATCATGGCAACAGTTGAACTTGCCATGAATTGCTTTATTAGCAATAAATGATTGTGTATAAAATTTTAGAATACTCCAAAACAGTTAAAACTATTTATAATGTTATTGTTATTAAATATTTTTTAAATTAGGTACCTTAAAATGTTATTATCTACAAAGTTGAAAAAAAAAACTTGTTACAAGTTACAACCACTGTGCTGAAAAACTACAAATGAGAACAGAACATGGCTTAATAAGATAAAGTAAAGGCAGAATACTAAAAGTAATTAAACTTGTCAGTGTTACCGCTTAGTTGGAAACAATAATATATTTGGATAAACCTACTAAAAAAATGTATCTCTCCTGTTTTTTGGTCTAACTTAATATAGTTTTGAAAGATTTGTTGTGATTTGTTGTGTTAGATTCAAATGTTTTGTATCACAAGATTATGAAATTAGTTTTTTTTTTTATTTTGATACCATTGACACCAACAAAAGATCAAGAACAAAAATATTATTAAATCCTGCCATCCTACAGATTGAATTTTGATTATTTTCTTAAGTTGTTTACATATAGGCCACTACTAGGTTAATTTTCCTGTCTTTCTAAATAATAATTTCTTTACTTTCAGTAAAATGAATTCATCTATCAATCATAGAAATTTAAAAAAATCATAAGTAGGTACCGGTACCGGTAGTTAGGACCAGTGCAACCATGCGACCAGGGTATTTATGCCGATTATGCTTTATGCTCAGACCTGGGTATTTATGGCGATTATACCCAGAAGTAAAATGCTAGTAGTGACAATATGAAATTTTGTTCCAACACATTTTATCTATTTTACTATACTTACAGGGTAATAATTGAAATAAAACATCTCAATCTTCTCTAACTTTAATAAACATTATAAATACCCAGTTTTTGGGTATTTACCCGGGCCTGGGGTAAGTACCCAATTTATATTTACCTACCCACTGGGTATTTACCCGGCCCACATCACTAATAGGCCCTATGTGCTATGTATGAAAATCAAACAGCCTTTGAAACAAACCATCCTGCTCGCAGATGTAGTAGGGTAGGGCCTATATACTGATCTTATAACAGATCATACCCTACCTAGCTATAAATAAAACATCTCTCAGTGTTAATATTAACATTTTACACATTTTCTCTATGTTTACTATTATTAATAACTGTTTGGATTTAAAATGGATGTTAAATTGGAAAATGGATATCTATCAGATAACGTTCCTGATATGGCTAGACGATGGATATTCAAAGTACGGACAGAGACTATTTCCTTAAATTTTAAACCCTGGATGACAGACGCTAATTTTAAATGTTCTTTATGTAATCTAAATGAGAATGAGGACACTTATCATTTTGTTGCTCGTTGTCCAATTTTAACCCAAATTAGAAATAAATGGCCATTGAAAGCTCTTTTAACTCGCTCAGAGTTTATAGATTTCCTTAATGGTAAGGATCGGCGTTCGCTGGCAAATTTTCTGAGAGATGCTTGGAAGTATAGATGGGATTTGGTTTTAGAATTCAACGTATAAGACTAGCAGCAAAACAATATAAATATTATAGCTCATTATATAAATAATTTTACATTTTAGTCGTATTAAAAGATAATGTTGCCATAAAAGATAATGTTGTCAACACGGCAGACGGTCTTATGACCATTGCTGTAAAGTGCTATTTTTAGTTAAATTTGTTCTTTCTTGTTATGCAGAAGATTATGTTTAGTTATAGGTTCTATGTATATATGCAGTTTATTTTTGTGTTAATAAAGCACTTTTTCAATTCATTTTCATTTAATTTCATTTAATTTCATATTAATTCTGTTTTTTTTAGGGTAGTGGAGATGGAGATGTGATAAATAATTTGAATGAACAAATCAACGTCTACTTAAATAAAAAAGCAATCAGTGAACGAGTGAATCAACTCAAACAACTGCCAAACCCCACAGGAATGTACAAGTGTTTGTTAGAATCATGTTGTAACAGAAAAGAAATGGCTGTCACACTTATGTTTCCACACATTAAGAAAGTACATCCACACCTATTTGACACGGTAAGAAAACGTTGCAGTAATTCAGTTGCCCTGGGAGCTTGGAAGGAATCGTTACCATTTAAGTTATATGATCAATGGCATTTAACTATTATATTGCATCATATATATTGTATCATACAGGTTTATAATTATATTTTTGTAAAGTTCTGCCAAAGCAAAAATAATAATTGTGGGTGGTACGGTACAGTAGACTTTTTCTCAAAACAGATGGTCATCATAAACCTTACAGCTCCTAAGGTTTTGTGCACCTGTACAGCTCTGTATTAGTGATTGCGACATGTGTAAACAATAAAAATGTTCCTTATCGAGATGTTCTGCTTATCGATCGCCATTTGGAAAGTAACCTCCATGTGTTAACTGTATAGGCAGTAGCAGGGGTAGTGTGGTGCAATTATACAACAGTTATAAGTGTACAGCCAAGGCCACACTAAAAAACAGGCCGTAATGCTCGTCAAGTATGACGTCACGATAGAAGATGGCAATCACGTAATGTTTGCCGTTTGTGATCAGCTGCTTGTTTTAATCTTTCCTTGGAAAATAAATATATAAATACCTACGTCATTGCCGTCTTCTATCGTGACGGCATGTTTGACGAGCATTACGGCCTGTTTTTTTAGTGTGGCCTTGGTACAGCAGGTCAGTCCGTGTCCAGCCTTGGCTGTTTGAAGGTCGAGAGATTTCTTATTTTAAATTTACAGCGTCTCAAAATATGTGACACAATAGAAAAATCACACCAAAGGTGAAGACCGAACAACCATATATTGGCCTATTATTCTAGTATACCAATATTGCTCACATAATGTGTGGTACTTTTGGTGATTTATCTATGTATTAACTTAAGATAGCTTAGACCATAGTATTTTGGACTAAAGTTTGGATTCTATATCAATTATTTAAGATGGGGACTCCACTAGGTACGTATTTTAACCCAAATATGAGTGAAGGATGAGTTTAGGACGAGTGTCGCGATCTTGTAGTCTTGTTAGTGACTAAGGCCGACATTTTCCTTAGACACAGCTGTTAATTTATAGCCCATACAGCCAATGGCAACTAAGGAACCTACAGCTTATATCAATTTATAGTGGAATTCGAACCTCATTTTTCCCTTGTTATAACAAATTGGTCTAATTATCAGGGTAGCACTGCGGGCAGTCGTAGTACTCACTAGTGCAGACGTTAATCCACTCCAGGGAGTATCGCATCCACAGTGCATGCCTATAAATATTCACAATTCGTGAAGTAGCTGGATTACAGGATGACGTCACCGTCCCAATCCAAGTTTTTAGGTTTCGAAACTAGAAAGCTTTTTCTGTGTTCATTAAATGAATTACGGTACCACTACGGTACTTATTAGGCCTAACTATTATAACAGCTCAGAACTAGTACTAAATATAATTTTATTTTGTTCATTTAGTTCAAGAACACAACTGCTACATTCACACACAAGTTTGAGAACTTCTGCTACAGAAAACACCAGACAAAATATCATCGAGCTTTTAGTGTAACAAACTTGGGATTGTTCTTCCTCAACCTTGAAACGGTGCCGGATCAATACATTAACTGTTGGATCTCTGTACCAGCCCCATTAAAACAATGCTCTCTTTTCCAATGTGAATTGGTGTTTACCAAAGAACTCGACAACACCAAAAATTTGATTTTCAGTAGCAAGGTAAGTTAAAAATGGAAGTAAGAATTTCTCTAACTTTTCAGCCCTGACAATATTTTTAGTGTAATTATACTAGTTGTGTATACTCATTCTTAGGACCTCGTCCTTGTCAGATCCAATAACCTTGATGGATGTATGATGTCCTTTTGACAATGGTTTCCTGCTCATTCCTGTCATGAACCTCATGATAGCCAGACAGCCAAAGGGTTGTGTGTAAAACTTAAAAAGATAGACATTTGTTTAAACCCATAGGCCTACCAGTTGTGTAGCACAACAATGTTGCAGGACGTCATGTTGAGGATGACGTTTCTGTGACTGCGGGAGACGATCGTGATGTCTAAACTCCAAACGGCCGGGTGATTTTTAATGATTTTGCCGCAAATGAAAAATTTCAAAATGGGACACTTGTAAATGTTTAATTTTTATGTGTTTTAATATCTTCATTTATACCTTTAACGTGGTATTTATTTAATGTGTTTAGAAGGGTTTAAAACTTATATTAGCTATGTGATTTTTTTATAATTTACTGCATTAATTATTTCTGTAGGCTGCTTGAAAAACAACCCATAACTCCAAAATTACATGCTATATAAAAGTACATAAAGACAGGGGTTGGTGTAGTAATCATTTAGGCCTAGCTGGGTTTTCCTAGGAGTGGAGCGTGGAGAGCGGAATAGTGATTTGATTAACATGGCATTCTGCTCTGCTTCTAGGAAGAAAGTAACATTAAATTACCTAAGACAAAAGGAGTCCGCTATCCGCATACCCCTCTCCGCACTCCGCTTCCGCATCTAGCAAAACCCACCAGCTTAACAGAAAATTTGGTAAAATTAAAATCATCAGTAATAAAAATCCATTTTTAAGTGTCAGTACTGAGATTCAATAAATTTTTAAGAAGTTATTGATAAATTGCAGGATTAAGGATTAGTTTTTAATTACCTAATGATTTAATAATTATTTAATATACAGGGTGTTTTTTTTTAAACTTGCATCTTTATTTATGTAAAAACCGCAATAGATAGAAATATTCAGTTTGCGGGAATCATCTATTGACGTAGGGGGCACAATTTTTTTGAATTCAATGTTACATTCACATTCCCCCCCTTTCCTCCCCTGCCCCCAACTTATTTTTTTTTAATAGCAAGGTACCCCTTGTGACATATCAAATGAAAGAGCATGAAAAAAGAAAATGTTTGGTGAAAAAAATTGAAAATCGGCTCATGAATTTGTGAGATAATCCCCCCCCTTTTCCCCTACCCATAACTTTTTTTTTAATAGTAAGGTACCCCCCCTTGTAACATATCAAATGAAAAATAAATTTCACCAAAAATTGTCTTTTTTCATGCTCTTTTATTTGATATATCACAAGGGGTAGGCTACCTTGCGATAAAAAAAAATTAAGTTCCGGGGAGGGGGAAGGGATATATCTCGCAAATTTATGAACCGATTTTCAATTTTTTTTTCATCAAACATTTTCTTTTTTCATGCTCTTTTATTTGATATGTCACAAGGGGTACCTTGCTATTTAAAAAAATAAGTTGGGGGAAGGGGGGGGAAAGGGGGGAATGTGAATGTAACTTTGAATTTAAAAAAATTGGGCCACCTACGTCAATAGATGATTCCCGCAAACTGCATATTTCAATCTATTGTGGTTTTTACATAAATAAAGATGCAAGTTAAAAAAAAAACACCCTGTATACAAATTGCATACTTGTGTCAGGCAATATTACAGTAATCATAAATTTAGTTTCTTTCACTGAGAATGCTTTTTCCGATAACTAAAATAGCAAAAGCGCTAAAACAGCATTGCGGGAGTTGGCGCATAAACACATTGGAAAGTTTAGTATGAAAAAGTACGATCTGAACTACCTGGAATTTTTTCTGGTTAACCTGGTGGACGCCCTGTGAAGTGCCCAAGCAGGCCCGATTTACCAAATAGGCACGGTAGGCACGTGCCTAGGGCGCGAGGCAATTGGCTTTTTTTGGGGGCGCCAAAAATTTGGAAATTAAAAAAATTTTGTGGTAGTATTTGCATGCTATCGCGGTAAACTTCTGATAACCCCTCGCGGCCGTGTAGGGATCGTATTCGTCCCGCGTTTGCGGCAAGATTCTTACAATTTTCTGCAGTCAGGTCGTTTGGACATAAAATTGTCTTCCATGATCGAGGCAATATATGAACATATCCCGCGGTCGTGAGGAGATTATCATCGTCTACCGCAAATGAGGCAAAATTCTGATATTTTCCCGCGGTCGTGAGGACATTATCCTCGTCTTGCGCGATCGCGGTCAAATTCTGACCACCCCTCGCGGCCGTGGAGACATCTTATCGTCCCCCGCGGTCGTGTGGACATAGTAATCACCTCCCGCGATTGTGGCAAAATAGTAATAATCTCCTGCGGACATATGGAGATAATCGTCTTCGGCGAATGAGGCAAAATTCTTATCTTTTCCTGCGGTCATTTGGACATTATCATCGTCTTGAGCAATCGCGGCATTATTGTATTCCGCGGTTCTGTAGACATTGTAATCGTTTCCCGCAGTTGTGAAGACATCATTATCGTCTCCCGCGATTGCGGTAAAATGTTAATAATGTCCTCCAGTCGTGTGGAGATCATCATCGTCTTCTACGATCGCGGCAAAATTCTTGCTGTTTCCCGCGGTCGTGTGGACATTATCATCGTCTTCCGTGAACGCGGCAATATTCTGATCATCCCTCGTGGCCGTGTAGAAATAGTCATTGTATCACCCGCGGTCCTGTAGATATCGTACGTATCCCGCAGTCATGAATCCATGGTAATCGTCTCCCGTGATTGTGGCAAAATTTTAATCATGTCCGGCAGTTTTGTGGAGATTATCATCGTCTTCCGCGATCACGGCAAAGTTCTTGCGGTTTCCCGCGGTCGTGTGGACATTATCATCATCTTCCGTGATTGTGGCAATATTCTGATCATCCGTTGCGGCTCTGTAGATACCATTATCGTCTTCTGCGATCGCGAAAAATTCTGATCATCCCTCGCGGCTGTGTGTAGACATATTATCGTCTCCCGCGGTCACGGAAAATTGAAAACTCCAGGTAGAAATACAAAATTCACGGTTCAAAAATCTCCCACATGATTCCCGGATTTCCCGGTCGGTGTACACCCTGTTATATATATATATATATTGCAAAGGGGCGCTACTATTAGATGTGCCTAGGGCGCTGACAGGGTCAAAAACGGGCCTGTGCCCAAGGGAAACCCAGAAGCTACCAATAATGCCTACTTTAAAAAAAAATGTTATACTGCCTCAATTTATTCACTGCTACTTCACTACATCAAGCCACATATGCATAGTAAAAGTAGCGGTTAGTAGTACAGAATTGTAACCAACGCGTAATTAATTCTGACATACATACTTTAAAGTTAAGTGTTTTTACAAACATCTAAATATTAACATTTTGACCATGTGCATTCACAAATTCTATTATGATTGAGGTCTTTCTTACTTTAAAAACGAGGAAGGTTTATGGATATTTCTTACTTTATTTACAGAATAGTCACATATACCGCAAAAGGTTTAAGCAATTAAAACTAATGACGAGATATATAATTTTATTAAGAAGTCTTATAAATTACTTGTTTGTATATGGATCAAAATATTTTCATAGCGAGACTGAAAGTTCTCGTAGTTTTATGTTCACATTATTATTACTGAAACATAATTTCCTATTGTTGCTGACATGACAGAGCAAGTCTTTATTTATATATCAGCAGTATTTATACTATGTTGTACATAATACTATTCTATAAGATATCGAGGAAAATAATTACCTTCCTCGGGACAGTTGCAGACAGACGTGTTGGCTTAACAAATGCAACAATCACGATAAACATTTCAACTGTACAAGCCTCTTGCTAAGTAATCGAAGCAATTGATAAGCGGAACATCTCAAGAAGGAATATTCAGATTGTCAACTCATCTTGCAATCCTGCATTACTTGTGAACTGTATCCCTAGAGGGCTGAGCAGTTTTTGTTCTTCCAATACAAATGAAGAATAAAGAAATTTTACAGAAATATAGATTTAAAAACCAAAAGTTCTAAAATGTACCTATGAATATTATTTTTTAGGTGGGGTCAAACTCTTATGGAAAAGAAAAGGCATTCGAGACTGGAAAAGTCTTCGTCATACCACCAGAAGACCACTTGATGAAGGATGGTGAATTCTTCTCTATAAACGTCAAGATTGTGTACACAAAACCAAAGGAAAACCCGAAGCCAACATCATAAGAGGAGGAAATGAATAATGCAACCAAAAAATTGCTCAAGTCTACTAATCATACCTAACAACTATAAGGCATGTTTTAAATCTAGTTACTGTTTTGAAGTTATAGCAGTTCCTCAATAGTCTGACTGTAGCAAGCAGACTGAATCTATTATATTAGACAGACTGAAGCCGTTAGTTATAGCCTATATTAACGAGTATGGTTTTGTTCAATGGGTCATTCTGTTATGGTGCAATTCTGACATGAATTAGGTATCATGTCATTGGCAGTAAGATCTTTTTTTTGCTCTAAAATATTTACTTATTTTGCCAAAAAGCTGTTAATAGTTGTGCATGTTGTAGTTATAAACAGTAGTTTCATTAGGCTTAGAAAAAGTGGACTATATGAAGATGAATTAACAAGCTCGCTACCGATCTTGCATATATGCGACAGTCGGTCATTGCCCCGGACCGAGGTATAGGTAATTTTTTAAATATTACACATAGACCGGGTGTCACTTGGTTAACAGTACACACAGACCACGGGCCAGTGATGCAGTAAAGTAAAAAAAAAAACAGTTTCATCAACTATATCATATGACGTCCCTACTCATCATATCCTTAGAACAAGTGACGCACCTTTGCGGCAGACATCCTGTAGCCCACTGCAGAAAATGTAAGGCCTTAAAACAGACGGTGCCAAAAATATAAGCTTTTTAATAACACTGGAACACTGACACAAATATGGGACGTCAGTCTATTTCAAATGTGACCAGCTGTCACATACTTGCGACGGCAGTATATGTGTGACGGGTAGAAATAAGCGGGCAGTATATGTGACGGGTAGAAACCGGCTGTTGCATGTGTCGCTGGTCAATATAAATGAAAACTTAAGTACTGTTACGGTAGCGAACGTGTAAAAAAAATTTATAATGCCTTTTAAATGTTTTTGACCATTCCTCTTGCATTAGAGGAAAAATCATACCTTCATAAAATGTTACCCTTATAGGCTAATTCCTTTTTTTTCTCAGCCTTAACCATGATTATATTACAAATTAATACGGAGATTAAGTACTATTTTTTGTTTGTTTGAGATTATATCTTGCATGTGATATCATTTTTACAAACTTTTCATTAATCATCAAGTTTTGGGATCTGTTTTTATTTATTCTTTAGATGTAAAAAAGTGATTTATTTAGTTGTGTATATGTTAAGTTAACAATCAAGTTAGTTGTGTGTGGTAATTTTTCATTTATGCACAGTGAACCCCCTTGGGACTGTCTGGCTAGTTTCAATTTGTCTTCCATTCATAGAATTCTCAACATAAGTACCTGACAAGTTCCTTTTTAATTTTATATTTTAACTTTTTAATACTTTAAATATCATTTTTCCAGTGAACGTGACTGATCTTAGAAAACGATCATAGAATTTTATGAGGTCCAGCGGAATCATAAGGGGTTCTACTGCATTTTACATTCAACTAGTATTTTACGAGTTGACATTAGTTTTTTAAATGTTAAACACTGTTTATTTACCTGTTTTGTAAATTATCAAAGGGTTTGTTTGCAGTAATAAATTTAAGTGCAATTTTATTTTTAAGCTTTTTATTGTATTTAGTATTTAGTATTATTTTGTGTAGCCGATTGTCAGGCCCCCAATTTGCATGTGACACGCTATGGGCCTGAGAGATATTTGCCCCTCCCACCCCCCTCCTTGCGAGGGAATTGTTCTCGCTAACTTTTGCGCCTCTGGGTTCGAGGCTATTTATTTAAGAGGCCCTGCCTATTGTTTTATACAATTTACTGACTTTATGATTGTGCTTTGCTCTGAGAATAATACCTAAAACATCCACAAGAACATAAATACAGAATCTTAATATGTCTAGATAGTTTTCACTACACTAAATTTTTTATCTATTGGTCTTATCATGCATGAATTTAGTCCGGGAAACAGCTGTTTAACCGCCTTCTTAACCAAATGAGATTTCAGTACGTAATACTATAGATAAAACATACTCCCTTAGTAGTTTTGTCATTATTATGGAACAGCTGAAGCCAATTTTATTGTTAGTTCTGTACGTCCAACTGTAGAGGTTGTGTTTTGTTTACAATTTGTTTCTTGTTATTTCAGTAATTTAAAACCTCATTTAACCAAATAAAATGATATAATCATAAACAATGACTGTTCTCCAAGTTATATACCCAAATAATAAAGCACAAATCTTGATAATAACCCTAAAATTATAGAAACAAAATTTCGTCTTCCCCAGTGATCAGTCTGGACATACATGAACTAGACACGAAAAACTAGCTTCAAAATTTACAATGGGATGAGGAGTCTACTTTTGTTGCTTAGTCTATGGTAATACTGTACATTAACAAATTTTACCAGGCACCAGCTGATTATATTTGGCAGTGAGGGGTTTCAAACAAAAACAAACCCTCCTTAGAAGTTATCAGGAGTTATTGTCAACAAGTTATTTAGTCGGTGGGGATTTGTACAGTTTTTTTTTAAATTGTGTAGTATGGGTAAAAATAACAAACATCACTCTTCCTAAATGTGCTTACCATACTTGCTGATAAACATCTATTTTCCGGACTAGTAGTGACGTAATATACTATTACAGATCTTTTACTTGGTTAACATTGAACCAATATTCCAGTAAATCGTGCTTCAGTATTCATATTTTAATGAATTATAATTATTGAATAAATTAGTGAATATAGTTAGTTATTTTAGATGAGTGGGTAGCTCCACGGACTTTCAGCCAGTGACAGCAAGGTCTAGGGTTCGGATCTTGGTTCCTACCAATACATTTGACCTACAACCATTTTTGAATTTAGCCTTTTCAGTTCAGTTCAATTCTTAGAATTGCAAATATTCTTTTTTTACATAATTGTTTACTTACTTTACAGCATTGTTTTCTTACTTTCAACACTTGAAATGGACTAATGCGGTTTGAGGATTGAGAGAAAAGAAGTAACATTGTAATGCTTCGAACATGAACTTATCAGCTGTTACCATTTGTAATGAGTGGTTGGTACAACGAGTCGTTGCATCATTATCAGTGACAATGAGAGGTTATAAACAAAAACGTAACCCCTCTTAAAAGTTGTGATCAGTGATTGAGCTAGTAGGCCTAGTTAAAAAATTGTCTTAGCTAAAGTTGTGTACTTAACTCGTGTAAAGACTATCTTTACGTGATTGTTGCGTAAACTACTATTTTACTACACTTCACCCTTGTACTTTATACTTTAATATTTTTCAATGAAATTGCGACCATAAAAAGTAGGTATTTTAAGCCAAGTATGAATGGATATGAGTGTAGGATGAGTGGCGCGATCTTGTAGTCTTGTTAGTGACTAAGGCCGACATATTCCTACGAACCACATTTTTGCCTTGGTATTTATGAATTGGTCTAGTTATCAGTATAGTACTGTGGATAGTCGTAGTACTCACTAGTGTGGATGTTAATCCACACCAGGGAGTATGGCATCCACAGTGCATGCCTATAAATATCTACAATTCGTGACCTCCTAGTAGCTGGATTACAGGACGACGCCACCGTCCCAGTCTCACCCATATATAGGCTCACCCATACTTAGCTGGATATCTTACTACACACAGGTCCATAGCCTATGTTGACAGGCAAATGCAAGGTTAAAAGAGGTCGCCAACCTCTATGCAAACTTCCCATATAGGGAATATGCTATTTTTAAATTTACATAAAAAAATATAATGATACCATTATCAGATGTTTGCAATATTATCTTGTTAAATTATCAATTGCAATATACTTGGACCAATTTGTAAAGAAAGATGTATAGGGTGTCCCACGAAGGGGTTTAAACGTTTGATTTTATATTACGCGCCCATTCATGCACCGAAATTTTTAAAACTTTACACAGTTTACAAAGTAGGTTCTAAAAATATTCTGGAAAAATTTCAACTCCCTAACCTTAGTAGAAACAAAATGGCGGCATATTGAAAAGGTTACTTTAAAAACGTTAAAAAAGGTATTTTTGGTTTTATAAAATATTTTTATTGTTACTTTCCAGGGTAATATGACTTTTAAACAATGAAAAATTAGAACATAGCCAAATGGAAATCTAAAAATTAATCAAATAACTAGTAAATAATAATAATAAATAAATAACTAATAATAAATCATGAAAGTAGTTTTTATAGAAAGCACATTGGTAAATTTGTCAATAAGCCGCCATTTTGTTTCTACTAAGGTTAGGGAGTTGAAATTTTTCCAGAATATTTTTAGAACCTACTTTGTAAACTGTGTAAAGTTTAAAAAGGTTCGGTGGATAAATGGGCACGTAATATAAAATCAAACGTTTAAACCCCTTCGTGGGACACCCGGTATAAGTAAATGTTAACTACTTAGTAAGAAATGTATATGTTTTATGGGATTAAATTAAGTTTGGCAACTTATAAAGTAAAGCGTTTTTTTCTCACTGGACACTATCATACCAAATGCACTACTAATAATAGACTTCCCATTCCTGTGTTGTAGCCTGTGTTGGAATTGAACATTCCATCCGAACACCCCACTCATCCAAAATACCCAACCAAGCATCTTCCCCTAGTGAAGTGCATGAAAAAATGAAAAGTGTTGATTTGAGTGGTGATCCTAATATGAGCAGGGTTTTTTTAGATTGATGCAATTGTCAATGTTCAATGTTTAAGAAACAAAGAGTTGTACCTTGAATCTGTTTGTGAAAAAAATAATATTAATTTAATTTGTGTTTCTGAACACTGGCTTAAACAAGAACAAATTGATTTATATGTACCGAAAAATTTTATACCAGCTAATGTAATTTGTAGAGCTTCAAAAAATAATGGGGGGGTTGGAATTTATGTCAGGGATGGTATAAAATTCTCTATTATAGATGTATCACAGTTTTACTCTGAAGTTGACTTTGAGCTTTGTTGTATTAAGTTAATAGATGAAAATATATTAATCTTAAGTATTTACAGATCTCCAAATGGGGACATCAATATATTTTTTGAACAGTTTGAAGAGGTAATCAGAAAGATATTAAAAAATAGATCCAAAATAATAGTGGCAGGGGATTTTAATATTGAAATGGCCAGGCCATCTGATAATGATTTAAAGTTTGTAAAATTCAGCAATATACTCAGATCTCTTAATCTTTTTATCACAAATTTTCAGCCTACTAGAGGAAATGCCTGTATAGATAATGTTATTGTTAACTTTAATGAAAACCTATATAGTGTGAAGTGTGATGAAAACTGTTTTGCAGATCACACTCCACTCTTATTTGAAATGGTTACTACATCAAACACAAGTAAAAATAGCCTTGATTACAAAGCCTCCAGTGTATTTATCAGGAAGCAAAATGACCAAAATTTAAACTTATTTATTTCTTACTTAAGAGAGGAAAGGTGGGAAATGATTGATGATTATAAACATAACAAAATTAGTGTTGAACATTTGTTTGATAGTTTTTTAAAAAGATATGTGAATTTATGGCACAATTGTTCCCCATTGGTCAAAGTAACGGACAGGCAACCTAAAAATAATAAAAATAATAAGCTTATAAAATGGTATACTCCTGAGCTTAGAATAATTAAGAATGATATGGTCAAGTACTTTACTGTCTATAAAAACTTAAGATCTACAGGTTCTGAGCTAACTCAGGCAGCTTATAATGTTTATATGAACCATAAAAGATTCTATAGAAATAAAATGACTCTTGCCAAAAAGAACGCGGTTGAGCACTTCATCAGTAATGCTTCCAACCCATGTCGTGCTGCCTGGGCAGTAATTAAAGATGAGCATTCACCAACTCATAGTCAAGATGCCATACTTGACCCAGATGAAATGAATTCATATTTTTTCGATTCAATAAAAGAATTAAGTAAAGTAATACCACAAAGCCCTTACAAAGCAGAAGATTTTTTAGGAAACAACTCAACAAATACAACATTTTCTTGGTCAGAGGTCTCATCATCGGATATAATTAAAGTTGTTGCTAAATTAACAAATTCTAAATCAATGGATTATTATTGGATTTCTAATAATATTTTGAAAAAGACTATAGGTTTTATTAGCTACCCTCTTGCTTTTATATTGAATACCTGTATGAGGGAGGGATATTTTTCTCCATCCCTCAAAATATCGAAAGTAATCCCAATATTTAAAAAAGGTGATAAAAAAATGGTTCAAAATTATCGGCCTATTTCACTTGTTCCTATTTTTTCCAAAATATTTGAAGCAGTAATGTGTATAATCAATTAAATAATTACTTTGAAACAAATAACCTATTGTCAAACTCCCAATTCGGCTTTCGTCAAGGTAAATCCACAACCTCAGCAATTCTCACTTTAGTTGACCATTCTCTCGAAACTTTAGAAAAAAGGAATCTGTGTCATTAGTTTTATGTGATTTAAGTAAAGCTTTTGACACGGTTCCTTTTGATATCCTAACTAACAAACTACGTTTTTATGGCATCACTAATGATGCCATGCTTCTTATTTCTTCGTATTTATGTAATAGACTTCAATTGGTATCAATTAAAAATAAATGTTCTAAAACTGAAAAAGTTGAAACCGGTGTTCCTCAGGGCTCTGTACTAGGGCCATTTTTCTTTAACGTCTACATTAATGATCTTCCTATAAATATAAATACACAATCTGTTATATATGCGGATGATACAACTTTACTCGCCAACCATTCTAATTTAACAACCCTGCGCTTAATTAGTCAAGAGGCTGAACATAGAGCATATGATTGGTTTTCTGCAAACAGACTATCTTGTAATTCTGACAAATCACAATATATAACGATCAGTCTTAAAACAGAGGTAAAATTTGAATCAGTTAAACTTTTAGGATTTAATTTGGATTCAAAATTAAATTGGTCATCACACATTAAATCAGTTTGTAACAAAATTTCAAGAGTGAGGTGCTTGCTGTGGAAACTTAAGGATTTTGTTAGTCAAGAATATTTAAGATTGGCGTATTTTGGACTCTTTCAATCGCACATACTATATGGTCTTATTTTGTGGGGCCACTCTCCACATATTAATGACATACTTTTACTCCAGAAAAAGGTGGTTTGAAGCATTGCTGGAGAATGCTCAGATACACATTGTAAACCTCTTTTCATTAATTTCAGGATACCAACCATAGTAAATCTTTATATATTCCAAATTCTAATATATACAAAGTCAAACTTAGATCAATTCTCTTTCCGAAAAGACGTACACAATCACTATACAAGAGGTAGGGATAAAATAGATATATTGCAGCACAGATTGGCAAAAACCAAACATTCACATAAATTAAATTGTATAATGTTTTTTAATAAGCTGCCTGAAGAAGCAAAATTAGTTTATTACAGTATTTTTAAAAATAAACTGTATGACTGGATTGTTAAAAATCCCTTTTAAAAAATTGATGAGTTTTTAAGTTGTGAAATAAATATTAGATTTTGAAGAGTAAGTTGAAATAAAGCTTTTATTTTCATGTAAGTGGCTATTTAAATTTAACGATTTTAAACTATTCATGGGTGATGCCAACGCAAAAATTGGGAAAGAACCCTTATGGAGAGAAGTTGCAGGGGAAGAAAGTCTACATGACACAACCAATGGAAATGGAATAAGGTTACTAAGTTTTTTCCATGCACTGAATCTCTACGCGATGAGCACTTTCTTCCCCCATAAAAGTATACACAAGGGAACATGGACCTCACCAAACGGAAATACAGTCAATCAGATTGATCATGTATTAGTGGATAAAAGGAATAAAAGATGGATCTTGGATGTGCGCAGACAGAGGCTAACAGTTGAAAGAAGAGAGAAGACAAAAGCTGGAAGAAGACTAGACATTGAAAAAATTAAGAATGATCAGGTGCGCAATAGTTTTGAAGTAGCACTACACAATAGGTTTCAAATCCTAAGCGAGCAAGAAGCGGAAGATGAAGAACTGGATGTTAATGAGGAATGGCGCAGAATTAAACATGGGATTATGGAAACAGCAGAGGAAGTCATAGGATTCAAGAAAGATGACCGTAATGGGAAACCGTGGTTTAATAGAATGTGTGAAGAACAAATAGAGAGGAGAAGAATAGCAAAGCGGTGCCTCCTAAATAATGCAGTAGAGGAAAATAGAAACCAATATAGAGAAATGAATAAAGCAGTCACGAGAAGACTTAGAGCAGAAAAGCGCAAATATATTAATAGACAACTAGACAAAGCAGAAAATGACAGATACGGAAGTAATGCAAAGGATTTCTATGCAACAATTAGGCACTTTCAGAAGGGATACATACCCAAAGCAACAAGTGTTAAAGATCAAAACGGAAACAAAACAACAGAGAAGGCCAAAGTTCTAAATATTTGGAAAGACTACTTTGAAAACCTGTTAAAAGAAGAAGATAAAGATGAAAATGAGGAAATAGAATATTTTCAAAATGTACAACCTTTTATACCAGAACCATCTCTACAGGAGCAGGAGGTTAAGGAGGCAATACAACTTTTAAAAAATGGGAAAGCTCCTGGGGAAGACGAAATATCAGCAGAAGTTTTAAAACACAGTGGCGAAATAGTACATAAGGCAATTTACAGACTTATTGAAAGAATATGGAGAAAAGAAAAAATACCAGAGGAATGGAGCGAGGCTGTTATTGTACCACTTCACAAAAAAGGAGAAAAAGAAGTTTGTAGTAATTATAGGGGAATATCCCTACTTAACACCACATACAAGATACTGTCCAAAATAATTCTGAGGAGAATCAAAATATATGCTGAAGAATGTATAGAAGACCATCAGGCAGGCTTTATAAGTGGACGCTCAACAGCAAACCAAATACATGTGTTGCAGCAGATAATATCAAAGTATTGGGAGTATGATAAAGAGTGCCACATCCTGTTTATTGACTTTATTAAAGCATACGATACCATAAAGAGACCCAAACTCTGGGAAGCAATGCAAAAGTTTGGGATACCGGACAAGCTGATACGTTTGACAAAGATGTGTGTGGATGGATCCAAAAATAAAGTAAAGGTAGAAAGTGAATACTCTGACACTTTTCAGACTAACACAGGAGTTAGGCAAGGAGATGGATTGTCTCCAATCTTGTTTAACATAGCAATTGAAGAAGCACTACAAAACACAAAGAAAGTGGAAGCTGGAGCATACCTTGGGTCAAAAATAAACGTACTGGCCTTTGCCGACGACGTAGCATTAGTAGCAGAAACTGAAGAGGATCTTAAGAAACTGGCCCAAACTATTACAACAGAATCAAAAAAGATAGGACTTAAAGTAAGTGCAGAGAAATCCAAATATCTCAAAGTGGGAAGAATTCAAAATGAGGATATGGGACCATTAAAAGTCGACAACCTGACGTTTGAGAGAGTGTCCGAATTTAAGTACTTAGGAATAACAGTCACAGG